GGGTTTCCCGTCAAAGAATGATAGTTCACCCTTAGGTAATTCTAATCCTACTATCGGTGTCCTAAGCATCTGATCCTTCTCTGGTACCTTAGAATTCTCACCCAAATTTTGTTCCTTAATGTCTTCTAAGGGTGACTTACAATAATAAGTATCAAACATAACATCATCACGAGTATAGAGGGAACCCATTAAACAAGAATCATTAACGACTTGCCTAGCATTTCGGGATTCTTCATGCTCTTCCACCCTCTTCGTGTTTGTTTTCTTGTGGTTGCTCATGTTTAATTGGAGTTCAACGGAAGATAAATAACAAATACAAAATATAGAAATTCCACCGGTAAATCCTCAATAAAAATCCAAAAGGACCAGAAAATCGTTTCCAAAATACAGTTCGATCACAAAAGAACGATAAGTAGTCCAAACTTCTTCTTCCAAGAAGTTTAATATTATAAACGATTAAAATTCCAAGTGTTTCCTTATTCTTCTTAATAATCAGACTGTAGTAGGCTTGTTCTTCTAAATCGTTAGACTGTAGTTGGATTTTCTACCGTAGCAGTTCAATTCGATTCCAATAGAAGTATGTTGGACGCACCCTCCGTTATTCGAATATCAAAACACAATAATTCTAGGAGAAAGTGGTCTATTTATAGAGAAGAAATGGAAATACAAACGTTACCTAACAATTGTTACGTCTTCCAATTCAAAATTACTCTGAATGAGTATGCAGGTTCCGGAGACTAGGTGAAACTCGTATACTGTAACGATATCAAATCCAAAAATGTAGCTGTAGCCATATTATATCAAATTTAAATAACGTATGTACACTTCAGAAGCAAACATACAAACTTCAATATAAGTACAAAATATAGAAATAATAACAATATACAATGATAAAATCTCAAAATGGAATCAAACAAAATACCAAAATGTCAACAGAAAGAGTCCGTCATGTCATGACAAAAATATATAAACATGGAGGGACTTTCCAAAAAACAAAACATTCAAAAAAGATTCTACAATAGATTTACCTTGCATTGGTTCACAGCCACTGGTGGTTCGCCGTAACGTAACTGTCGTAACTCGCGTAAATTATCGCAGTGGACACTGATATAACTGACAAACATTGTCTATAAATTTTAGCCATCTATATAAAGCCAATGTGTCTTATGAAATATTTAAGTAACCAATCGACACTTTACAGTAAACATGTTAGCAATTTTAAAATTTTGATCTTTTTCGCAAATTGGCATGCTTTTTGTAACATGACACTTGAGAATAAATTACCATTATATTGGGATCCATCGAGCGATAAAAATGAAGGCGACAGCTTGGAGCTTCAAACTGAACCAGAGAAATACTTCTGTATTCAGGTATTCAGAATTTTCCAGTTAATGATTCCAAGTCCATCTTAATTCACATCGGTCTCCATAGCTTAGTAGCAAGAAGATTAAAGTTTGTAAAGACATCCATAATCATAATTTTGCAGTCGAACTATCTGTTTATGAAATGTCAACCTCCAGGTGATACGGAGTGGGCATGTTGCGGGTTGTCTTGGCAGAAAACCAACTTCAGCGTATTTTTCAAAACATGGGCCTCAAAGGGAGCAGACGTATAAAAGCAACCTCAGCTTCAATGAATAATCGTCTCATAAATCGAAAAGGACCATAACCAAAGAAAATATTCTGACCCGGAAATATGAGTGGTTTGAAGACATTGTTCTTATCATCAATGTTTGCTGGTTTGTAACCGCAAACTCGCCAGGTTTGTGCCGTTTGGCTCATTAAAACAAGTGTATTGGTGAAGATTCAGTGGTATCAAAAGGATACTGAAATGGTGTCAGGGAAACTGGGTGAAAGGTACACAGCAGACAAAGCAAGATGGCGACCGCAGCGAACGTAAGTGTGGTACAAAAGTACGAATAAACAAAGTTTTCGGTAAAACGTTCATTAGTACATGTGGTTATAATGATAAATGTTGCTATTTAGCTAATCGCGTTTTCGTCGCAAAAGTAAAGTCGTTACAGCAAACCCCCTGCAAGATAGGGTGAACTCTTTTGATACGTAGCGACTTCGTTCGTGGGACCGATTGCAAAATGTGCGATTGTAGGACAGAAGGGTTGACTAACAGGAGGCGATCCATGATCGTCGAGTTGTCACGGATGGCCTTTTACGTAGAACTGTACCAGGAGTAATGTGCCGCGTTTGCTACTTGAGTTGGCGTGCCACACCAGAATGGTGTGTATCTAGAATCTAGTGATGGAGTTCGTAGGGCCTGGTCTAGTAAACGCTACTTGTCGAAAGCCTGGGACTGTCATCTCATCCGATGTCAAGGGCGGTGTGGTCTGCTGATATGAACGTGAGGCTGGGGTCTCATCCAAGGATGGTGCATATGACGCACGCTGTTGACTGGGACGTGAAAATGAGGCCTCTGGTGTATCTAGCTTGGGGTCCGAAGGAGATGATGGGACCTCGCTAGTGAGTTGGAAGGGTCCAACATTAGGTCTCGACATATCGAATAAGGCACTGTCATCGATGTGTGCCGTAGACAGATAGACAAAACATCACTTCTCAGTGGTGTAAAAACCTCCTCATGCAGACGTATTTTCGAGCCGTATTCAAGTTCAGCGACGAGACATTGAATATCTACCTTAAATGCTTAATGGTCGCATGGTCTACAACTAACACCATCTTTATTGAGAGCTGTGTGGAGAAGAGATGCCCAAGGACTGTGGGAAAGACGAATGGTACAAAAAATGAGTAACTTTTAAAACTCATGCTTAGAGACAACAAATTTGTACGGTGTCAGTCGGTGAGATTTGACCATGGCTGGTGGTTATCAGGGGAAATAAGTAAAACCTGGAGTATATTATCGAGCGAAAAAAACACCCTTGATTCGCTACAAATCTCTTGAAGACTTATGAACCTTGCATATGTCAAAAGAAAATCCGCCTGGAGCCCCTTTATGGCTACTGCTGGGCCCAAGCCGGATAAAGTAAGAGGACTGATGTTGGCGACCACGGAAAAACGAACTCTCTAAAAAAAATACTAACCAGAAAAATTAATCCGAACCATTTTGACTCGGCCCTGGGAGTAAGAAGGTCGTCTTACAGAAGAATTATGACGTCTCATGATGAAAGCCTAGTTCTTTCGCAAGACAAAAGCCGATGCTCCCCCTTCTGACAACCGGATAAATCTTCCCTTCAGATACATAGAATATTCCAACACTGTGTGGGACCAGAAGACTGTTCCTAATTGCTACAGAGATGAAAAGATACAACTTGCAGGTGCTTGGAATCAGTGAAACGTATTAGACGAGTGTTGGATAACTAAGACTAGCTTCAGGAGAGATGCTGTCATACTCCGACCATGAAGAAGAAAATGCTACACACAGAAGTCGCACTGATGCTGTTCAAACAAGCACAAAAGGCACTGATAGCATGAGAATCTCATGGACCCAGGATAATACAAGCATCCTTCAAAACAAAGAAAGAGGACATTACAATGAACGTCATCCAATGCTATGCACCTACCAACGACTACAATGGCAGATCAATCTTACGAGGCTGCAGTCAGTCGTCGACAGATGCTCATCAAAGGATTCGACCATTCTGATGGGGGACCTAAATGCCAAGGTTGGCATGGACAACACTGGATATGAAGACATAATGGGACCACATGGGCTGGTAGAAAGGAAAGAAAATGGTGAGAGATTCGCAAACCTATGTGACTTCAACAAACTAATCATAGGCGGCACAATATTCCCACACAAACGCATATACAAAACCACACGGATTTCACCCTATCACTACTCAGGACCAAATCCACTCAATAAAAACTTCAGAAGGATCATGCAGGACATGAGAACCAAGAGAGGAACTGACTTAGCCTCAAATCATCACTTGCTGGTCTCTAAAATGAAACTGAAACTCAAGAAGCACATTACAAATGTTTAATACGGCCTTTCCTCAGGACACCGTAAAACTCAACGCACTCAATATAGCCCTCACCAATAGGTTCCAGGCCTTGCACGATCTACTCAATGGAGAACAATTGGAAAGGGACCAAAGAGGCGATCGCTTCGACATGTCAGGAGTTTCTGGGTCATGAGATCTTTGTTGGTACTCCTCAGAAAACTTGAGAGAGGAGAAACAAGAAGACAGAAATCAACATCAGCCGAACAAGAGCAGAGAAAGCCAACGCACAAGCTGAATACACAGAAGCAAGCAAATGAAGAGGGGCATCAGAGCCGACAAACGCGAATGAGTGGAAGATCTAGCAGTGACAGAGGTAAAGGCTGCAAGAGAAGGAAACATGAGACAATTGTACGATACAACAAAGAACCTCGCTGGAAACCATCATAAACCGGAGTAACCAAAGAAAACAAAAAAGTTGAAGTAATCACGGACATTGAAGAACAGCGATACTGGTGGACAGAGCACTTGGAACAACTCTAGAATCGACCAGACCGACTGAACCCACCCAACATCGAAACAGCAACCACAGACCTCCGAATTAAGGAACTTTATATTTTTTTGGTTTACACTTCACAGTATTTCATTATCATTTACAATTTTTTTGTTTCACCCTTTGAATGTACCGAGGTTCATACTCAGAGGCATTGCCACTAGATGCGGAAGTTTGCTAGGCGAATTCTTCTTATATTCCGTACACAACCGTTTAACCCACTTTAAATGTCGCGCATGATGGGTTATATAATTCTGATTCGTTCGCTCAAGGTCGTCAGTACGCAAATCACATGTGAGCTAAATTTAACCATATCTTCTTTATGGAATACACAGTGAGCACGTAGAATCTCTCTCTTTTTAATTCTCCTCGATTTTTTTATTTTTTTGTTCTATCGATAGAGTAAGACAAACTCCATGATAACACGCAGAGGTTGCTTTGTTGTTGCGAGAAAGTTTTCACGTGCCCCCCCCCCCACACCACGCCACCAAAAATCAATGTTATGCAAGAAAGAAGATATGGTTAAATTTAGCTCACATGTGATTTGCGTACTGACGACCTTGAGCGAACGAATCAGAATTATATAACCCATCATGCGCGACATTTAAAGTGGGTTAACCGGTTGTGTACGGAATATAAGAAGAATTCGCCTAGCAAACTTCCGCATCTAGTGGCAATGCCTCTGAGTATGTACCTCGGTACATTCAAAGGGTGAAACAAAAAAGTTGTAAATGATAATGAAATACTGTGAAGTGTGAACCAAAAAAATATAAAGTTCCTTAATTCGGAGGTCTGTGGTTGCTGTTTCGATGTTGGGTGGGTTCAGTCGGTCTGGTCGATTCTAGAGTTGTTCCAAGTGCTCTGTCCACCAGTATCGCTGTTCTTCAATGTCCGTGATTACTCCAACTTTTTTGTTTTGTTTGGTTATTCTGGTTTATGATGGTTTCCAGCGAGGTTCTTTGTTGTATCGTACAATTGTCTCATGGTTCCTTCTCTTGCAGCCTTTACCTCTGTCACTGCTAGATCTTCCACTCATTCGCGTTTGTCGGCTCTGATGCTCCTCTTCATTTGCTTGCTTCTGTGTATTCAGCTTGTGCGTTGGCTTTCTCTGCTCTTGTTCGGCTGATGTTGATTTCTGTCTTCTTGTTTCTCCTCTCTCAAGTTTTCTGAGGAGTACCAACAAAGATCTCATGACCCAGAAACTCCTGACATGTTGAAGCGATCTCCTCTTTGGTCCCTTTCCAATTGTTCTCCATTGAGTAGATCGTGCAAGGCCTGTAACCTATTGGTGAGGGCTATATTGAGTGCGTTGAGTTTTACGGTGTCCTGAGGAAAGGCCGTATTAAACATTTGTAATGTGCTTCTTGAGTTTCAGTTTCATTTTAGAGACCAGCAAGTGATGATTTGAGGCTAAGTCAGTTCCTCGCTTGATTCTAATGTCCTGCATGATCCTTCTGAAGTTTTTATTGAGGGATGGTTCTGGTCCTGAGTAGTGATAGTGTGAAATCCGTGTGGTTTTGTATATGCGTTTGTGTGGGAATATTGTGCCGCCTATGATTAGTTTGTTGAAGTCACATAGGTTTTGCGAATCCTTCACCATTTTTCTTTCCTTTCTACCAGCTCATGTGGTCCCATTATGTCTTCATATCCAGTGTTGTCCATTGCCAACCTTGGCATTTAGGTCCCCCATCAGAATGGTCGAATCCTTTGATGAGCATCTGTCGACGACTGACTGCAGCCTCGTAAGATTGATCTGCCATTGTAGTCGTTGGTAGGTGCATAGCATTGGATGACGTTCATTGTAATGTCCTCTTTCTGTGTTTTGAAGGATGCTTGTATTATCCTGGGTCCATGATTCTCATGCTATCAGTGCCTTTTGTGCTTGTTTGAACAGCATCAGTGCGACTTCTGTGTGTAGCATTTTCTTCTTCATGGTCGGAGTATGACAGCATCTCTCCTGAAGCTAGTCTTAGTTGTCCAACACTCGTCTAATACGTTTCACTGATTCCAAGCACCTGCAAGTTGTATCTTTTCATCTCTGTAGAAATTAAGAACAGTCTTCTGGTCCCACACGGTGTTGGAATATTCTATGTATCTGAAGGGAAGATTGCTCCGGTTGTCAGAAGGGGGAGCATCGGCTTTTGTCTTGCAAAAGAACTAGGCTTTCATCATGAGACGTCATAACTCTTCTGTAAGACGACCTTCTTACTCCCAGAACCGAGTCAAAATGGTTTGGATTAATTTTTCTGGTTAGTATTTTTTTAGAGAGTTCGTTTTTTCGTGGGATGTGGTCGCCAACATCAGTCCTCTTACTTCATCCGGCTTGGACCCAGCAGTAGCCATAAAGGGGCTCCAGGCGGATTTTCTTTTGACATATGCAAGGTTCATAAATCTTCAAGAGATTTGTAACGAATCAAGGGTGTTTTTTTCGCTCGATAATATACTCCAGGTTTTACTTATTTCCCCTGATAACCACCAGCCATGGTAAAATCTCACCGACTGACACCGTACAAATTTGTTGTCTCGAAGCATGAGTTTTAAAAGTTACTCATTTTGTGTATCATTCGTCCTTCCCACAGTCCTTGGGCATCGTTTCTCCACACAGCTCTCAGTAAAGATGGTGTTAGTTGTAGATCATGCGACCATTAAGCATTTAAGGTAGATATTCAATGTCTCGTCGCTGAACTTGAATACGGCTCGAAAATACGTCTGCATGAGGAGGTTTTCACACCACTGAGCAGTGATGTTTTGTCTATCTGTCTACGGCACACATCGATGACAGTGCCTTATTCGATATGTCGAGACCTAATGTTGGACCCTTCCAACTCACTAGCGAGGTCCCCTCATCTCCTTCGGACCCCAAGCTAGATACACCAGAGGCCTCATTTTCACGTCCCAGTCAACAGCGAGCGTCATATGCACCATCTTTGGATGAGACTCCAGCCTCACGTTCATATCAGCAGACCACACCGCCCTTGACTTCGGATGAGATGACAGTCCCAGGCTTTCGACAAGTAGCGTTTACTAGACCAGGCCCTACGAACTACATCACTAGATTCTAGATACACACCATTCTGGTGTGGCACGCCAACTCAAGTAGCAAACGTGGCACATTACTCATGGTACAGTTCCACGTAAAAGACCATCCGTGACAACTCGACGATCATGGATCGCCTCCTGTTAGTCAACACTTCTGTCCTACAATCGCACATTTTGCAATCGGTCCCACGAACGAAGTCGCTACGTATCAAAAGAGTTCACCCTATCTTGCAGGGGGTTTGCTGTAACGACTTTACTTTGCGACGAAACGCGATTAGCTAAATAGCAACATTTATCATTATAACCACATGTACTAATGAACGTTTTACCGAAAACTTGTGTTATTCGTACTTTTGTACCACACTTACGTTCGCTGCGGTCGCCATCTTGCTTTGGCTGTTGTGTACCTTTCACCCAGTTTCCCTGACACGATTTCAGTATTCTTTTGATACCACTAAATCTTCACCAATACACTTGTTTTAATGAGCCAAACGGCACAAACCTGGCGAGTTTGCGGTTACAAACCAGCAAACATTGATGATAAGAACAATGTCTTCAAACCACTCATATTTCCGGGTCAGAATATTTTTCTTTGTTATGGTCCATTTCGATTTATGAGACGATTATTCATTGAAGCTGAGGTTGCTTTTATACGTCTGCTCCCTTTGAGGCCCATGTTTTGAAAAATACGCTGAAGTTGGTTTTCTGCCAAGACAACCCGCAACATGCCCAATCCGTATGAACTGGAGGTTGACATTTCATAAACAGATAGTTCGACTGCAAAATTATGATTATGGATGTCTTTACAAACTTTAATCTTCTTGCTACTAAGCTATGGAGACCGATGTGAATTAAGATGGACTTGGAAGCATTAATTGGAAAATTCTGAATACCTGAATACAGAAGTATTTCTCTGGTTCAATTTGAAGCTCCAAGCTGTCGCCTTTATTTTTATCGCTCGATGGATCCTAATATAATGGTAATTTATTCTCAAGTGTCATGTTACAAAAAGCATGCCAATTTGCGGAAAAGATCAAAATTTTGAAATCGCTAACATGTTTTCTGTAAAGTGTCGTTTGGTTACTTAAATATTTCATAAGATACATTGGCTTTATATAGATGGCTAAAATTTATAGACAATGTTTCTGTCAGTTATATCAGTGTCCACTGCGATAATTGACGCGAGTTACGACAGTTACGTTACGGCGAACCACCAATGGCTGTGAACCAATGCAAGGTAAATCTATTGTAGAATCTTTTTTGAATGTTTTGGTTTTTGGAAAATCCCTCCATGTTTACATATTTTTGTCATGACATGACGGACTCTTTCTGTTGACATTTTGGTATTTTATTTGATTCCATTTTGAGATTTTATCATTGTATATTGTTATTATTTCTATATATTGTACTTATATTGAAGTTTTTATGTTTGCTTCTGAACTGTAGACATGTTGTTTAAATTTGATATAATATGGCTACAGCCACTTTTTTGGATTTGATATCGTTGCAGTATACGAGTTTCACCTAGTCTCTGGAACCTGGATACTCAGCAGAGTAATTTCGAATTAAAAGACGTAAAAATCGTTAGTCCACTTTCTCCTGGAATTATTGTGTTTTGATATTCGAATAACGGAGGGTGCGTCCAACATACGTCTATTAGAATCGAATTGAACTGCTACGGTAGAAAATCCAACTACAGTCTAACGATTTAGAAGAACAAGCCTACTACAATCTCATTATTAAGAAGAATAAGAAAACATTTGGAATTTTAATCGTCTATAATATTAAACTTCTTGGAAGAACTTTGGATTACTTATCGTTTTGTTTTGTGATCGAACTGTATTTTAGAAACGATTTTCTGGTCCTTTTGGATTTTTATTGAGAATTTACCGTTGGAATTTCTATATTTTGTATTAGTTATTTATCTTCTGTTGAACTTCAGTTAAACATGAGCAGCCGCAAGAAAACAAACACGAAGAGGGTGGAAGAGCATGAAGAATCCCGAAATGCTAGGCAAGTCGTGAATGATTCTTGTTTAATGGGTTCCCTCTCTACTCGTGATGATGTTATGTATGATACTTATTATTGTAAATCACCCTTAGAAGGCATTAAGGAACAAAATTTGGGTGAGAATTCTGAGGTACTAGAGAAGGATCAGATGCTTAGGACACCGATAGTAGGCTTAGAACTGCCTAAGGTCGAACTTTCATTTTTTGATGGGAAACCCCGCGACTACTTTAGATTCATCAAGCAGATTGAATCGTTTATAGAACCTAGAGTAAAGGACGATAATTTGCGTTTATTATATTTAATTCACTACTGTAAAGAAAAAGCAAGAAATACGATTGAAGGTTGCCTTATAATGGATCCACAAGTGGTATATAAGAGAGCTAAGGCTATTTTAAGACAGCTCTTTGGGCAGTCGCATGTGATAGCCCGTGAAACCTTGGAGGACTTGTTTAGAACCGGGAATGCAGATTATAATGATCCGGAACAGTTGACGAATTTGGCTATTAAAATGCGGAAT